GCCTCTTTGTTCCTCCGTGGGCGAGGGTCGGGACCCTCGAGCGCTGAACTCGGTCCAGGCGTCGGGGGCCTTCGGGGGCCCGCTCCCAGGGACCCGGCAAGGAACCAATCGAGGCGAGCTTTTTGCGTTCAGGGAAGCTTTCTGCTGGCCACAGTGGGCCGCGACCTCGCTTACGTCACTGGTAGTGCCTACGTGGTGCGTAGGCCTTCCAACCTCAGAGCGAAGGCCCGCTGGAGGCTTTAGAAGAGAACCGAGAGTGATGGAATCTGGTGCGCGAGCTGACGGGGAGCAGGGACGTTCAAGCTTTCAAGGTGAGGAGCCACGTCTCGGAGGCGGAGCTGGGGAGATCCAGCCCTGAGATGCGTGCGCTCCTCTGTTTCAACGAGCTGGCGGATAAGTCGGCTGAGAGATTTCCCCCCAAGGCGCAGATCCCGCCTGGGAATGCCGAGTCTCTCAAGAAGCTGGAGGCAGAAGCGAGAGCCCTTCGAAATCGGCTGGCCTCCATCCTTGCCTGCATACCTAACTCGGTCGGAGCCGAGGAGCAGGCGGCGGCAGAATGGACGGCAAGGCAGATTCTCGACTTGCCAGCCGCCCTCAGGGGCGCCTTGCACCTGATGGGAAGACAGGATTCGGGCCGCCGTCGTCGTCGCCACTGGCACTGTCGTCCCTGTGGCCCTGGACCCACCAGCAGGTGCAGGTCCGCAGTAATCAGGTGGCTCCGTGCACCCAGCCAGGCCTCCGGGCGCGTCGCTCCTTCCGTCAGGGCCCCGCGCGAGGCGGGACCGTGCAGGAAGGGCGCCTCGGCGCACCCTTCTCAAACGATGCGTTGGTTGGAGGTGGTGGATGGGTGCTCGGAAGAAATTCCCTACCTAGGCTCTGCCTAGAAGGGTTCTTACCGTCTAGCTGAAAGGGGCCGGGCAGTGGAACCCGCCCCGGGCGGTTCCCCCGGCATCCGCCCCGCGGTTCCCCCAGTTACGCCCTCTTAGGCTAGCGTTGCTTATCTCATCCCATAGGCTAGATGCAGGTGTAGATGTTGATGTAGCTGCCGGTGTAGATGTAGATGTTGCTTTCCTAGATGCTCCAACTCCTAGGTAGGGTCGCACTGGGATCATTGATTTTCTGTTTTCTCCAGATGCAGAGGCTTAGGCACGGACCGTTTCCGCTCGACTGGCACATTTGCCAAAGAGTGCGAGAGCCCCCCGCGCGTGCGGGGCTCGAATAGCGCAAGGCGTTGGAGAGAGGACGTGCCCCAGGCCACGCCGAGCTGGCGAGGGGGATCAACATCTCGAGGTGATCGTGGAGGGAGCGCGACGCGCAGAGGCTACGCGAATCTCCTCCCCCTCCTCCCTGCCCGCAGGGGCTGGCCTTCCCTGGGGGAATCTGGGCCGAAAGCGGTGACCCCCTGCCCGCAGGGGCTGGCTTTCCCTGGGGGAATCTGGCCCGAAAGCGGCGACCCCCCGGAGGTGGTGATGCAAGGTGGAGCTTTTGCCGACGGATACTGCTTTCAAGCACGGCCCTTTGCAGTGGAATCAGACAGGACAAATCGGCATAAAACACAAACTTGTGGCGCTCCGCGCGGATTTCTTGGATCTGTGCTGGACCCCGCTCCCTGGCGCGCGGAGCGCGCCAGGGTCTGCGCCGGAGGCGCCGCCAGGGGGTTCCCAGCGCAGATCCAAGAGATCCGCGCGGAGCGCCACAAGTTTATGTTTTTGCCTTTGTTTCTTCTTCGACTTCGTCTCCCGTATTTGGCGGGGACAGTGAACGATGACCAAGGTGAGTGCGCTGCCCATCTCGCAGAGCAGACTGGAGGTCTGCTCCCACCCACTTCGGGGGCCACAGAGCAGGTGGCGCCAGCCGTCGGTCCTATGTGTCCCCGCTTCGCCCACCTCCACTCTGACCGTGCGGGAGCCGTGCGCGAGTACAGTCGAGTAGGTTTTGACAGGGACAAGTTGTGTTCAGGGCCGGAGCCTGTGGCGGAAGGCGAAGCTGCTGGCGGTACCTCCCCCACGATCTGTGAAGTAGAAGCGCACCAGGGTTTAGGTAGCCTCCCGGAAGGCTCGCGTGACGCGTTGTGTGGCCCTTGGGGAGCGGTGTTGCGGACCGTGTGGCCGAAGCGGCTGCGCAGAGAGGAGGGCCCCCGCAGGCCGAAGTGGGCGCCCACCGGGCCGACAAGGCTCTGCTCAGCAGATTGTTTGAATTCGTTGAGGCCCCTCCTTCTGCCCCCCCTCGTTAATTCAAGCTGTGCGCGGTCCGCTTAGCTTCGACCGGAAGAGGTGCGCTCGCGACCCGCGAATCAAACAATTGTTTGAATTCGTTGCCCAGGGTATGCCCACGTGGCCGTCTATCGCCCCCAAGCCTGGAGGCAGAGCGTGTGTCGGGCCAGTCTGTGAGCCTCAGAGTAGGCCCCCTGTGGGTGCTGCCCAAATCGCCTCCTCGCCCGCGCCTCCCCCTCCCCCCGTGGGTCCCGTGGCCGAGGCTGGTGCTCCTCCTCCAGGAGCTGAGCAAATAGGGCAGCCACACGGGTGGGGATGGTCCTACGGAAGGTGGATGTGCGAAGTATGCCGCACCAGAGCCATCACCGAGGGAACCAGAGTCAGAGGTGATGCTGAGAGTTGCCCAGGGTGTCCCACGTATGAGAGAATCGAAACGGCCATGGCATCTACGCTCTTGGTCGGCTCGGTACAGAGAGTTGTGTCATGGCTCGTTGGCAGTGTGGGGTTCATTCCGAGTACATGACACGGGGCTTCAGGAGGCCTTGTGGGAATAGCCCTGCGAGCAGCAACAATGTCTCCGTTTCACACTGGTTTAAAGCTTGCCAACATCCCAATCTAGGAGTGCGCGACCCCGTGATTGTCGCTGCACCAGTCACTCGATATGTTGACCCGTTAGACGCATATTTCGAATGGGGCAAGCAACAGTAGCAGCAGCAGCAGCAGCAGCAGCAGCAGCCAATCGCTGACCCATAGTCAGACGAGCACAGTCAGATCCGATGGTCCCCCTCCTCATTCCTCCTGTCCCCTTTCTCCTCATCCCTCCCCCTCCCTCATCTTCCTTCTTCCTTCCGCCTGTCCCCCCCTGTCCCCTCTTCCCCCGCTATCCCAACCCCCTCCTCCTCCTCCTCTTCTTCCTCCTCCTCCTCCTCCTCCTCCTCCTCCTTCCGCTCTCCTCCTTCCCCTCCTCCTTGTCCTTTCCTCCTCTCCTCCTCCTCCTCTCCTCCTCCTCCTCCTCCTCCTCCTCTTCCTCCTCCTCCTCCTTCTCCTCTTCCTCCTTTGTCCTCCTCTCCCTTCTCTCCTCATCCCTCCCCCTCCCTCATCTTCCGTCCGCCTGCCCCCCCCTCGCTCCTCTTCCCTCTTTCTCACAGCGGACCCCCCGAAGAGCCCTCTAAGTATCCTCACCTTCGCCAGTTCGCCTTCCCCGACCCCCCCAGAGCCCCCCCGAACCCTTGAGATGTCATGACCTTCGGCGCAACACCGCCGACCACTTGACAAGCATTCCCGCCTCCCTCCTGGTCTCCGGAGATCTCCCGTGGGAGGGCCCCAGGGCTCCCTGCAGGGCCCTGGAACCCGTCGAGGCTGGCGGCGTCCGCAGATGCGCTCGGATTGCGGAGGCTCCCAGGACCCCCCAAGACTGGAGAAGCATCAAGGAGCGCAGATCCTCAAACCTCGAGGATCAAGAATGAGGATAGTGGTAATGACCATGACGATGCTGATAACGGTGGTGATGCTGACGATGGTGAAGCTGCTAATGATCATGTTGATGATGATGCTGTTGTTGATGATGATGATGATGATGTTGATGTTGATGTTGATGTTGTTGTTGATGATGATGATGATGGTGGTGAGGATGAGGATGAGGATGATGATACTGATGACGATGCTGAGGAGGAGGACGATGATGAGGGTGATGATGGTATGGATTGGGGTGATGATGGGGAAGATGGGGATCATGAAGATGATGAACATGATGGTGATGTTGCTGGTGGAGATGATGATGGTCATGACGGTGACGAGCATGGCATAGTGCTGATGATGCTGAGTTTGGTAAAGTGGGTGAGTGCAGTGATGATTCTGATGATTCTGTCGATGATTCAGATGATGCTGATGGGGATGCTGCTGCTGCTGATGCTGATGATGGCGATGATGGTTGAGGTGATGATGAAGAAGACGTCGACGATTTTGGGTATTAAGATGATAGTGGCGAACACATCGAGGATGATGAACATGATGGTGCCGATGCTGATGTTAATGCTGCTCATGATGTTGACACCGATAGCTATGTCGATGTCTATGGTTATGGTGATGCTGATGACGATGGTCGAGATAATGATGATGCTGATGATGATGATGATGATGATGATGATGAGGATGATAACGCTGATGGCGACAGCAATGATAATGATGATTGTGGAGGTGGTGGAAGTGATGGCGTTGTTGTTGATGCTGGCGGCGACGCCGATGATGATGATGGTGCGGATGCTGATGTTGATGATGACTATGATGATGCGGGTGGTGATGATGATAGCGATGCAGATGGTGGTGATGATGATATTGATGATGATGTTGGTGATGAGTGTGATGATGATGGTGATGATGACAATGCTGACGATGATGTTGATGTGGGTGATGATGGTTATGATGATGATGTTGATGATGTTGAGGATGATGGTGAAGATGATGATGATAATGCTGATGATGCTGATGATGTTGATGATGTTGATGATGATGTTAATGATGATGGTGATGAGGATGATGATGATGATGATGATGATGATGATGATGATGATGATGATGATGATGATGGGCAGATGGAGGAGGTGGAGGAGCAGAACGAGTAGGACGAGGAGGAGCGTGAATCGTTAAGGGAATCTAGAGGATGAGGAGGAGGAGGAGGAGGCGGAGGATCGGCAGCAAGAGTGGGATCGAGGAGCGGACGATCGATGATCGAGGGGAAGGACGAGGAGGCCGTGCCTCCTGGCGCCCGGTGGGCCTCTGACCTCGCCGGCAGGCGCTGCTCCAGCGACAAGCCCCCCCGGGCGCACCACTGCTCCACGTGCGGCCGCTGCGCGCTGTGGATGGACCACCACTGCCCGTGGACTCCCGGTAGACATGCTAGCGGCGATGCTCGGGAGCTTTGAGACGGGGGTCAATGCAGACGGGGGTCAGCCAGGGCGCCGGATCCTGCAAGATCCTGCGAAGGCCCCCTCTGGCTGACCCGGGTCAGGGAGCCGCTCGTGGCCGCGAGGCGGCCGCACATATTGGCTGACCCGGGTTTGCGAGGACCTGCGTTGCAGTTTTTTTTTCCTGCATTGCAGTTTTTGGTTTCCTGCTGACCCTGGTCTGGATTGACCCGGGTCAGAAGATCCCCGAAATGCAGCTAACGGCGATGCAGATTTCTGTATTGTAGGCTGGGGTGCTTCCAGTGTAGGAAAGGCTCGTCTGTGCTTTCCTTCCGCGCGCATTCGGGGTCCCAAGGGCCATATCCCCAACATCGCCATTCAACAACATCGCCGTTAGCGTGGCCTTGGACTCCCCCTCCGAGGTCAAAGGCTCGAGTCTCGAGGTTTGAGGGCGTCGTCCGCCTCTTCTGGGTCTCCTCATGGCCACGGCTGGGTCCGCCTCGAGATTCTTGCCAGAACGCGCCCAAGGACAGGTCCGGGGACCGATTTTTGAGGGACTCGGTCGTCGACCTTCGGCGCCGGCGTCATTGTCGTCGATGTCGTCTGCCTCGTCCTCCCTCTCCCTTTCCTCTCCTCCTCCTCCTCCTCCTCCTCCTCCTCCTCTGCCTCCTCCTCATCATGCTTCTTCTTATCCCCATCGCGCCCGCTGATTGCAGTCGTCTGCAGCTTCTCGGCCCGAGCTTGCCCCGCTTCGGCCCCTGCCGCCCCTCCCGCGCCCGCGCGACCAGGGGCGCCGGGAGCCTGCGCCGGCCCCCGCTGCTCAGGTGTCCATCGACTTCTACGCGGCGGCGGCTTTCTTCTCGGACCACGCGTGGGCCGCCGCCCAAGGCGGTGGTCCACTCTCCCCCCTCGAGCGCGGTATTGCACGGGGCCCACTTTCCCGTCAATCCGTTCTCGTGTGGGGCGAGCCCGACTGCGCCGAGCAGCCAGTCGGTGACGGCACGGGGTTGCCTCCCTGTTCGGGTTGGCTCGCGCCACTCCTTCCTGCACGCCGCTTGCCTGCAGGCGGGGCGCTCGCGCGCCCCTCAGGCCACCTGTCCTACAGGCGCCTGTCGCCAACGGCCTCCTGGCCCATGGCGTCCGCGGCTGCACCCCCAGCTTTCCGCGGTACCGACCCGCCGCGCTGGCGCCCCCCGACGGGCCCGCCGCCTCCTCTGCAGCAGAACCTTCCTCCACCTACTCCTTCTCCTCCCCTCGCCGCCTCGCCCTGGCTCAACCTTGATGCTTGGCGGAGCAGCCCTCGTGCGGACACCTGTGGCTTCGAGGTCGCTGAAGGCTTTTCCTGTCCCGCGGGGTGGGGCGCCGGCGGCGCTACGACGATTCCGCCCTATCCTGGCTGGGACGCTCCAGCGCGCGAGCCGCCCGACTTGCCTGGGCTGGCGAGTACGGTGCAACGCCCCCGCCCGCCTCCAGGGCTGGATCCTCCACCGCTTTCCATGAGCTTGCAGGCGGACTCGCCGCCAGGCTTCGCTGGGCTGGAGGGCGCCCCGCTCGCGATGGGGCCGTTCCCCACTCTCGCTGACGTGGAGGCTGGTGCTCGCGTGCCCCCGTCAAATTCCATGATCGCCATCGCTCCGACATATGGGGTTCACCTGTCAGGAGGTGCCAACTCGCAGTGGACTTTCATCGAGAAGCACGTTTCGCACCCTCTGGTGCGCACTTCCTTTCTGCCGCCGATGCACGCGTGGGACCCGCACACGGGCTCCGACATTCAGAGCGTGGCTCCGCCACCAGGCTTCGCCGGCTTGGAAGCTGGCGCACGGGTGCCGCCTTTGGTCGACTCCCGCGCGTCCGATGCAGCGGGTGGGGGTCCGTGGCTTAGCGGCGAGCGTCTGCCGTGCACCGGGTCGTCGCCACTGCCGTTTTGGCGCCCCACGGCCGCCGTCGGTGACCGCGCGGCTGGCGGAGCCGCCGTGAGTGCGGAGTCGCCTCCTGTCGGTGGTGGCTCGCCTTCCCACGTCGGGCGGGTTGGGCCGCCGCCGGGCCTCGCCGACCCACAGGCGGGAGTTCATACGCACCCGTCTCTCCACCCTAGCAATGTTCGCCCGGCCTCTTTGACTGCACAACCGAACCTGGAGTCCGCCGCCGTGGCGCCGCCGTCGACGCACGTCTGCGCGACCGCTGCCTTGGTTGGGACTCCGGCGCTTGTCAGCAGTATTCACCTGGTCGCTACGCCAGGCGGTACCTCGACGGCTCGGTGTCACCATTCACCGCCTGGGCTCGTGGCGCTGTCGGGTCCCGAGGCCTGGTGTGCGGGTCTGCCTCTGGACCTCGCCGGTTTGGATGCGGGTGTGCGGATGCCGCCGTCGCGCTATCCATGCTCGGCCGTTGTTGAGGTGGGGGTTCCCATGCTTGGTGCTGGGTCCCACCAGTGGGCCTTCGATTCGGGGCGAACCGTGATCCCGTTCTTGCGGACCCCGCCCTCGCCTCCGGCGCAGCCTCCTGCGCTCGGTGCCACTCGTTCAAGCTTCCGCGACATTTCGCAGACGCTCGGTCTAAGCGGGGGTCCATCCACGCCCCCGATGGGCCCGCCGCGCCACGATGTGGCGGTTGCACTGGAGCCAGGCGCCACCGCTGGTGCATCCTGGGCGGCCCGCGCAGCGGTTGCTCGCGAGTCATCCTCGACGCCCCCCCTGCTGCCACGATGGGGGTCGGTGGGCGGGGGGGGTGCTTCGAGCGCTTCGGACCCCGATTCTGCTCCCAGACGCGCCACTGGCGGGCCCCCAGCGATGTTCGGGGGACCCCCTGCTGTGCACGCAGTCTCGCTTGCGAGCAGTCCCACCACAGCGAGGGCGCCCACTGCCATCGGTAGCGTGGTGGACGCGCCAGAAACGCCCGTCCGCAGTGCCTCGACCGAAGCTGCGATCCCCACGCCTCGGGGCGCTTGCACTCGGAACGCAGCGGGCACTCAAGCAGCGGGATCACCTCCAGGCCTCATCGGCCCCGCCGCGGGCTCCTCGGGTGAAGGCGTCGCCGCAGCCGCTGCCATTGCAGCGAGGCCCCGACGCTTCTCGTGCAATCGGATCCAGGGCCCCGTCGCGTCGATCCCTGCCCGCGCTCGCGAGCGCCTGCTGGCCGACCCTCGTGGTCTGAGCCCCTCACCGTCCCCACTGGTAGGCATGCGCCCCTCCAGCGATGCCGTTGCGGCCCCGCAGGGAGGGGTTCGTGCCGCCGGTGGAATGTCAGGAGCGGGCTCGCCCGCGGCGGACACGACGCCCCGCGATGCGGTCCCTGCGCTCCGCTCTGGTCGAGGAGTCGCTTTCGCCGCGGGCTCCTCGGATGAATGCGTCGCCGCAGCCACTGCCACTATAGCGCGGCCCCGTCGCCGCTCGGCCTCCACCAACAGCAACCCCGCACTCCCCGCCTTCAGGCTCCGACGTGTTCGTAGGGTCCGCACTCGGCGTGGAGGACGGCGGGGTCGTGGGGCCGCCGATGGTAGCTGCTGTACAGCTCACGCTCCAGCCCATGCTGGTGCGACTGCCTCGTCTACGGACGCCCTCGTCGGTGCTTCAGAGGCCGCTTCTGGGGCCCGTGCTCCAGGGAGCCGCAGTTCGCTGGTGCAGGTGGCGGCGGGCCCTTGCCGCGCCGCTTCCGCCGGCTCCCAGGCCGCCGGCGATGCCGCCCTCCATGGCGGCGCATCCCAACACAGGGGTGGACGCACGCGCCCTGCGTGCCCTGGCCGAGGGCTCACGCAGCGGCGAGTCGCTGAAAGCGACGACGCTGCTGCTGCCAAGCGTGCCTGGGCTGAGCGAGGCCGTGAGAGTAGGCACGCGCTCCTCCAGCGATGCTGTTACGGCCCCGCAGGGAGGAGCTCGCGCCGCTGTCGCGACTCTCGCTCTACCCCCGGCTCCCCCTCAGGGCCGAGTGGCCAGTTTGGCCAGTTTCACCATGCTGCCGGAGTCCATGCCGTCGGTGACTCAGACGCGCCGTCCTTCGGTTCTATCGGTTCTGGTGGCAGTGGGAAGCCCCTTCGAGGTGACCTGTCCTCAGGGGTCACAGCCGCTCCACAGGCCCCTCGATTTGACTTGTCCTCAGGGGCCGCTGCCAGTTCCGAACCCTCTCGCGTTGATTCGCCCGCAGGGGATTTAGACCCGAGGTCGTCTGCACCTGCCAGCACCACGCCATGCCATTCTGGTCGGTTTCACCGCGGTGCTGAGGCCCACGCTCCTGGGGCTTCAGCCCGTGCCAGCACGGGCATTGGCAGATCTGCGCCCTTCGTGGCCGATCTGTCCGCCTTGCTGCGCCTGTTCCCAGGCGCCAGCATCGACGTCACCCACTGGGCCGCTGCTCTTGCCCAGGTCGGGATGGGGACTCGATGCTCCCTTGCCGCTTTTACCCGCACTTCCCTCTGCGCGCCGGATTGGGACGACTCGTACCTGTCGGAGTCGGTTCCCCGCGATCCATGGCCGTGCCCTCCGTCGCCGCCTTTACCGCCGCCGCCTGGCCACCTGTCGGGTCGCGCGCGTGAGCGCTGGCGTGTGAGGCGCGCCGCCCGCACGTTGTCGCAGCATGCTGTTGTTGCGCTCAACTGGCTCACCCTGGGCCATCCGAGCTTCGCTCCCGCCGAAGCCAAAGTGCGGGCAACGGTCACACCCTGCCAGGAGGGTATCCGCAGTCGCCTCGAGCGTCTGTGTCGGATCGCAGTTCGCCTTGCCCGCGGCGGCAAGAGCGACCTTGGTCGAGCTTTCGCTAAGTTCGACTCTACCGAAGTCTCGCTCCATGGCCTGGCCACCCATGTCGCAGCTCTTGAGGCTTCTTTCACATCCTCTTCCCAAGTGCCCGCCCCCATGCGGCAACTCCCCGTCAGCGCGACGCCCTTGGCTAGCTCGTTGGCGGCCGCGGCAGGCTGGGACTCCACCCAGGCTGAGCCTTTCGACCTTCGGGTCCAGGCGTCCCGCATCAAGTGGGATTA